CTGAAGAGGAATCAGCTAGAACATCCACCGAGAGGATTATGGCAGACTTGGGTTCAAACCAAAAGAACTGTCTAAAGCAAAAAAAGCTCCGTGCGAGACAAGAGAAGAGTCCTAGGCGAGAAAATTACCCGCGCGAAATTCGGATTCCGCGCCACGTCGCGGGAAGCTACGCTGTCACGAGCTCACGAGATTCGCGGGATCGCGCAACGCTGCTATCGGTCAGGCGTTCTCGAAAAGCAGCGTGTCTTGTGCATCCCCCTGTCGAAATCACTTACGTTGTAACACTAGCCTGCAAATTGTGAAAGGACGCAGGATCCATTGAGAGCAAAGAAAGCTATCGATAACGAAAGCGAATCAAGCGAGATACTGTAAAGAGTCGAGAAGAGGAATCGTCAGTGAGCCAAGCATAGAAATTCTGCAAAGCTGCCGACAATGTGATCTCGAGCGAATAGCACATGCTGAATTCGAGCCGAAAGGCTGAGGCCCATACAGGGAGCTGTCGCGAGTACCTAATCTTTTAGCTGTCGCTTGCCGTTCGCTCGAATCACATAGATTTTTGTATTTAATTCGCATAAAGCTTGCCGCCTTCTCGCCATAGCGAAATCGCCGCGTCTTGTTAGTGTAATTATATGTTAACTCGCCATATTGTATTGTACGTTTGAGTCGCATTTCATATAAGGTGGAGAAAATCATTGTACGATGTCTGGCGGAAAACCGCGATTATTGCTGTAGACGCTTATTGACTGATTACTTTGAGATAACTCTCGCGACAGTCACCTGTTCACGTTCCGGATATTTTTTTTTGCTGCGTGACTCGATCACGTTCGATCATAATGGGCTCATATTCACGTCGAGACGAATTATTGTCACTATGGTAAATTGTGTACTTGAGTAGACGCTTGTAATCATTTTTCTTATCAATATTAAATATATATTGTCGTTTTCTTATTATTAGGTGTACAAATAAGTTTCCGCCGTTTGATAAAAGACGGCGCCACTAGCAAACTATGGTTAAAATTGTCTGATGTAAAACATTATATCGTAAGGTTGGACATCTGTCAACAACATAACCTTGAAATACTAGCGATTTTGTATCAGCATCATATATTTTTTTTGTGCAAAAATGCCGAGTTTTGAGTCGAATAAGCGTCATTTGTGGGAACTTTTGATTTACTTCTTTAATTTGAAGAAATCTGCAGCTGAGGCTCATCGATTGCTTGTAGAAGCATATGGAGGCTGCCTTAAGTTGTCAAGAGAGAAGTTGTCGTGAATGGTTTCAAAAATTTAAGAACGGTGAATTTGATGTCGAAGACAAAGAACGTAGCGGAAGGCCGAAAGTGTACGAAGACGCGGAATTGGAAGCATTATTGAATGAAGATTCGTGCCAAACGCAAAAAGAACTTGCACTTACATTTTGACTTACATCAATAAAACATTATGTATCGTTCTTTCACAATAAATGCTTAATTTTTGATAAAAACGGCGGAAATTTATTTGTACACTTAATATTAAAAGGAAGTAGTCCTTCTCGCCTTTCGATTCACTCCCACTCCGAATCATCCACCCCCGCTGTCCATGTGGGACTGAGTAGTCGGTAGTCATCCGTGGCATTAAAGAAGCGAAAATAATTAGTTGAGATTTAGAGGAGTCACAAAGAGCAGCTTACTCGTGCCTGGCGCCCAACTTAAGTTAAGAGAGAATTTACATTAATTCAGTAGCTATCGACAGAGTAGCTATCGACAGAGTATCAGAGGGAAATCATTGGCTGTCGAATTGTGATGATCGAAACGCGATGAAGCGTGCCATCGGTCGAGACTACTCACAGTATGTACGTACATACGTATCTTTTTATTAATATTTCAAAGAGAAAAAGAGTAAAATTTTGAATTAAAAGTTCCTTTGGCTCAAACCATTACTTATCGAGTTATTAATGATTAAAAGTTGATCTATCACGTAGCACGCAGATGAAATATAGGAGCATTATGCCATGGAACTCCTCGCGCTTGCTATACATTGTTCCAATTGAAACTTATTCTAATTTTTCATATTAACAAATAAATAAATAAATAAATAAATAAATAAATAAGTAAATAAGTAAATAAGTAAATAAGTAAATAAGTAAATAAGTAAATAAGTAAATAAGTAAATAAGTAAATAAGTAAATAAGTAAATAAGTAAATAAGTAAATAAGTAAATAAGTAAATAAGTAAATAAGTAAATAAGTAAATAAGTAAATAAGTAAATAAGTAAATAAGTAAATAAGTAAATAAGTAAATAAGTAAATAAGTAAATAAGTAAATAAGTAAAAATGAAAAGATACTGGAAAAGGTACTAAAAGTTCCTTTGCCAATTTTGACTCAGACTTGATTTATTTATTTATTTGTTTATATATATATATATTATATATATATATATATATAGGAAAAATTAGAATAAGTTTCAATTGTGGCAAATTACTATATACATTATTATTATAATATATACGTATATAGAGAAAGAGAGAGAGAAAGAGAGAGAGAGAGAGAGAGAGATTCATATATTTAGTGAAGAAACATGGTATAATCATAGATTTCCACTTTAAACGTCTCTGGACGGAAAAATATTGAATTTAGAGAATCCCATTAAGACTTTTGTTCACTACGTCGAGAACAACAACGTACTTTAATTCCAATTTAACCGAGGGACGTTTTCCATAAGATCTGTGCGAGGTTCTTTGTAAATCAACTGTAATCGTGTGAACTAGGAAAACATGTAGACGATATTTGAGGTACGATTAATTTTAAGTTCAATATTGAGATGTACAGGAGGATGTCCATGGTATAGGAGGATTTCTGCCCTAGAAATGGAACCTCTGAAACCGATAAATTCATTTAGATTATGATGAAATCTATCGCCTAATGTCAAATTTCACTTTTTTATCGGTAAGGAAACCCCGAGCACGCCAATGGCTTTCCCCCTCCACTGCTTCGCTCATTCTCTGCCTCTTTCGCCACTGCGTCGTCACTACATAAAACTAAATATGATTTTTTTCAACTTTCCCGATAAAAAAGTGGAATTTGACATTGGTCGATTCCATCATACTCTAAGTGAATCGATTTCAGAGGTTCCATTTTTAAGGCAGACACCTTCCTATACCGTGGATATTCTGTTTTAAAAAATTCAATCCTTTAATTGCCTTACAGTTTTAGTCCACAACAAAAAACAGCGTCGATTTACTGAAGCAAGTACACATAACGATGGATTTTGTTCTTTTTCAAACGACTGCAGTGAGAGAGCAAATTTTTTAACGACTATAATATGTACAAAAAATTGACGATGTTGAAGTGGGAACATATCATATGTGTAATGTTAATTTTAATAATTTAATCATGCGACCTCGTGCGAATAACTATAAAACGTTTTAATTAAAAAATTTTTATTCAATTTTTGTGTTTAATCATGCAACAAGATTTAATCAATTTTTATATTTAAACTTTTATCTATTATGTAACCGATATCGCGACTTTTTTATTTTTATTTTCATTTATAATTATGTAATTTTTTATATGTTACACTAATGATGATCTGATGAAGGTTGAAACGTTTGTATTTTAAATGTTTACAGTGACTAGATATTGAATATAAATTAATATTATTAGGCATTAAAAACTAGCTTTGATTCGTAGCCCTTCTCCTTTAATAATTTTATTTTTTGATTGTTTTTAATGATATGAGAAAATGAGGAAAATTTTTGCTCATCGTAATATATGTCGTAATATATTTCTCCTTTGGAGAAAGTTGTTTGATTTTAAGGAACATATATTACGATGAGCAAAAATTTTCCTCATGATCATATCTTTTGATATTTTTAGAAGATTCATTTTTTTAAATTGTATGATTTTTTTATACAATGATTTCTCTAATTATTCTGAATATAAAAGTATTAAGATAATATTCTTGAGGCTTCCATGGATGCTTTCTAAAGATTATGCGGGTTTTCTCAGTGTTAGATTAGATCCATTCTTGGAATGCCAACATTTCGTAAATCTTGCAGTCACTTCAGTGTTAAAGTAGTGATATCAAAAAATCAATAATTTACGAAATATTTTATTTCTTATTCTGGCATATATTGACATAAAATGTTAAACATAATTGCGCCGTTTATCATTGCTGACTCTCATTAGCCTACTATATTTATCTTTTTGTATTGTACATTAATACTTTTATAAACAGAATAATGAGATGAATCAATTGGTGGCAAGAAAACATAGTTGCTTATTTAAAAAATTATCTATTTTGCATACATTTTTTTTTTAAGCAATTATATGTTTTCTTTCTACCAATTGATTCCTCTCATTATTCTGTTCATAAAATTATTAAGGTATGATTATCAAAAAATTAGTAGTTTATTTAACATTTTATGTCAATGTATGCCAAAATAAGATACAAAATATTTCGTAAACTGTTTTTTGATATTACTACTTTCATACTTTCATATTCAGAATATTTAGAGAAATCGTAGTGTAAAAAAAAATCATACAATTCTATTTAAAAAGTGGAGGACTTTGAATATTAAAAAATATGACCTTGAGAAAAATTTTTGTTCATTATATATGTCCCTTTGAATTGAATAACTTTCTCTTTTGGTATTTTCTCTTTTGGTATTATTGTACAAACAACGAGATATCTTAGATGATCAAGTTAAAGAAAACCCCCTGTATACAAACAAAGAAATACGGACCATATTATACAAATGATACAATATGTGCTATTGTTCCATAAATTCAGAAACGCTTGCAATTTTCTCGCATTTTAAAAAAAGTATTGTAGGATAAATATAAAATAGATTTGTTCAAGATTCTGCGTACAAAAGTATGAGAGAATTGCATATGAATGACTTTTATTCCTTGCTCGACTATTCAACTCGACTATGACTAACTTCGACTATCTATCTAAAAAGCTCTTAGCCGGCTATTCTCACGCGCCTCCTCGCTCGCCAGCGCCATCTTTTGGCTTCTTACAATTGGCCGTCCTGAAGTATCATCAGTCCTAGATGATTGGGATCTGGTTCAATCCATCGTTCTAAGTATTCAACGCATGTGGTAGTCCTAGTGGGTCCTTAACCGTCTCCTGCCTTGACGTGTATCATTCGACTTCATTCTGGTGACGCGGTATAACTCTAAATATCAAGGTTTGAGCTTCATGCTATGTTTTATGGCTATCAAGTCGTTAAGGTGATATTTGTTAGGATCTCTATGATGCAGATTATAGATCCTAATGCTTTATATTTTCCTGTTAACATTTCTGGATTTATTTTTCTCTTATTTATTCTCTTAATGTTTCTACGCATTGTCATAATAGTCATTTCATGTTCTATTGCTTTTTTCATAGTAAGATCTTAATTAGGCTTAATTTGGCACCGATCGATAGCGCAAAGAATGATAGCAATACTACGCCGATAAATGGAGTTTAGCATGTTGTAATCTAGGGACATGTTTATATTTTGTGGGTTTATTAACTGCCATTTTCGTAAACACTGAAATGATAATCTGGTTGATTCTCTTCATTTGGTTAGTTCTGGATAAATCAACTATAACCTTGAGATGCTCAATGTTTTCCTTTCAACAATAGTTTTTGAACTCAACCGAAGTAAAGACAGTGCCCCGATCAGAGATGATGACTTTGGTTACCAAAAATGTACTTCTGCTGTCCTAATTTTTAGATAACTTCTTTGAGTGTGTACTGTCTTCATAGGATATAACCACAAAAATTTTGTAAAAATGTCGATTACGGCTAGAATAGAATGTTTATAACTCTTGTTCATTGATTCGAATAATCGCAAATGATACAGATATGTAGCGAGATCTCCTTTGTTTAGTAAATATAAAGTATCCCTCCTGTTTACCTGACTTCTTATTAATTAAGATACATTTCACGTAATTTGCGACACTTCTCGACCTTTGAGCGTAAATAAAAAAACTCTTGTTTTATTTCTTTTTCTGTTTTTTTTTGCAGTGGAATGTCCTCTCTCGTGGGCAGTCCTAATGATTTCATCTTGCATAGCGCTCGGGACCATTAACAGCTCATATCCTTGCGAACATCTGTAGACCAAACCGCTACATAACCCTGATACTAACCCTCTTCTAATAACTGCTTTATATTTCTAATTTCCTGATCTTTTTCTTGTGCTTTCTTCATTCTTGAAACGATATCTTTAAATGTTATCGCCATTAACTGGTAACGACGTCTGCGTGTTTTAGTCTAGTTTCAGGTCGATGTTTGATTGTGTAATTGGAGTTTTTTAAAATCAATGCCCATCTTGAGATTCAAGGCATAAGATGCTTCTTCTTTATCATCTGTTAGAACAATCTGTAACAATCTGGCACAATCTGTAATAATCTTGATTGATCTACCTAACAGATAGATGCAAAAGTTTTTTAAAGCCTCCACCACGGCTAGATCTAATTCAAATTCGTAGCTGGTGTACTTCCGTTCTGCATTTGAGGTTTTCTTACTTATACAAAGTGTCCTATTTTAATGTACCTCAAATAATTTTATATTTTTTATTTTAGAAAAAAAATATTTCAGACAAAAATAAGTTTATTACAGTTTTTTTAGATTAATTTGGGAAATTTTGGGGGAATTATTAATATTTCAGATTAAGATAGGAAACAAGACCGTTTATATTAAATAACATTACAATCCGAAGCGCCACTACGGTAAGTATTAAGATGTTGAACTAATATATATATTATTCAAACGAATGAATTAATTTCAGAAATAATAATTACGTGTCGATATGGTTGTCGACATTAACGCAATTAATCTGAAATGTAATAATCCCCCCAAAATTCCCCAAATTAATCTTAAAAAATTGTAATAAACTTATTGCGAAAAAATATTGCCTCGGCCGGGAGTCGAACCCGGATCTCTTGCATTCCGTGCGAGTTCTCGCACGCGATTACAGCAACGTTGGCATTAACATTACCCAAAGTGTTCAACCAATGATTAAAACCTTTTACAGGATCATGATCTGGATAACATTTGTCAAGATCAAAGCAATTGAAGGTTGTACCTCTTATTTTTATTTTTACATAGAAATATAATTTTTAGTGCAAAGATTTCTTGATTTTTTTTGACATGTAATTGTCTAGTCTCTTTACTTCTCTTATTCTTTCTTCATCGACATCATGACTCATATTAAGCGAATTTCTCGATCGCTTGGTGACTATATATTACTTATCTCAGGCATCTTGCTAATAGTGATGTTATTCTGATTTATATTTTCACCTCCTCTTGTGACAACAGCTCATTGCAGCCAATAACAACTTTTATAGTCATGACATCATCAGCCACCACATACATATATCGTTACTAGGATATATCGTTACTGATCAATATCCTCAAAACATCTTATTTTTTCCGTCAAATTCGGAGAAGTGTATCATAGTGTTTGATAGTGCTAGCGCATCTATTTTATATGACTTAAATTAATAATATCAAACTAACTTCCGGTTTCAACTAAGGCGTTGAATTTCTTGCCCTGGATTTGAATAGTGTTTTATACATGTCTCTCAGAGTGTTAAAACTGTTTATAATTAATTCTGTCTTCTTCATCTATTCTTGTATATCTTTCATCTTCTTCGGCTTTTCCTTCTTGCAGTCGACAGTTTTATGCCCGAACTCATTTCACTTGAAACATTTAATGCCTTTACTCTTATTGTCACACATCGTTAATCGATGATAGATTTTGCCATAATTGAAGCACATATCCTCTTTTGATTTTACTTTCTTATTCGCAGTTGCATTTATCGATTTAGTAATACTAGTAGTTTTCATCCTTATCTTCTCATATATTTTTAATTTTTTCTTGAATTCTTCCGCATCTCTCGCCCCATAAAACACACTTCACTGCCTAATTTTCTTGCTGTTGATAATGTATTGAAACAGATCTCTTCTACTTCGCCTCTGGATGCTATCTCTTTCATTGCTAGAAAATATGCCTATACCGACACATTCTTCTTAATTTTCCTTGTCCATCTATTGATGTAGCTCAATGATATTTATTTTGTCACTAAATTCATTCTTAAGTGTCTTTTTCAGCTTCCTCTATAAATTTATTTCCTTTTCTCCTTGCACGAACTTAATCGATCCATTCAGCGACTTCTTAGCGAATATTAATTTATGTATGTCGGACCATTTAAAAAGCTCAGCTGCTTCCTCAAAATCCATAATTCATCGCTCTACTGGATACTTCTCATCCCCATTCAAAAATCTTCAACATCTCTAAAAAGTTATTGCAAATTTATTTTTCATCGTCATGCTCTTAGCCTGGCTGTCTATCGTCTTCGCCTTCTTCGTTTTCTATTTTGTCTTCACTACGAGCCTTCGTTGCTTCCTTCTGCCTTGCCTTCATCAACATTATCGTTTTCAACGTCGTTGTCGTCTTCTTCTACGTCATCTTTGTCTTTTTATCGTTATTCGTCTTATTGAGTGAGTTGAGATCCACATGCGATAACTACAAACTCGTTAGTTTAATTCTTTCTAATAGTGACTCACTTTTGACGGAAGGATCAATGATTACGATTTAAGAGATGTATCATTGATGATGGCTACAAAAAGAGCAGAAACGTTTAATGAAGAAGATTAAACACTATGATAATTAATCTTTGGATTAGAATTTAATCTCTGACATCTTCATTGGTCTTGACTCGAATTAGCATTAAATTAATTGTTTATTTTTATTTTTAATTCTTTTTTCGTACCTGAGTAATCGATTGCTAATACATTGCATAATAAATTGAAATCAATCACCCATGCGAATTAGGTATCCTCATATGACAATTTTGTTTTATACTCCTCTGATCCGCTAGCGAACGCAAAACCTTGAAATTCGCGTAGCCGTTTTTTGTTTCCGCTATCTTCCTCTTGCTCAAATTGTGCAATGCCCTTACGGCCTTCGTAGAACTCGCCTTAAGGTTATTAGCTACGATCTTTATTTGCTTAAGCCTTTCCGTCATCTTAACAATCTTGATAATTTTTAAGCGATGATTAAATCATCTCTACACACAGCTTTTCCGCCAATTTAATTGCATGGCTTTTCCAAAACTTTCTGTCACGTCATCTTCTGATACCGATACTGCAACTCTCCTGTGGTCGAATCTCAACTAGAACCACTAAATAAGGTAGGATAAATATGAAATAGATTTATTCAGGATTCTGAGCACAAAGATATAAAAAAATTGCGTATTAATGACTTTTACTTTTTGCTCGATTACTCAATTCAATTTTGACTAATTTCGACTGACTATCTATCTAAAAACTCCCTAACTAGCTTTTCTCGCGTTTTTTCATCAGCGCCATCTCTCTTGGCTCCTTACAATATTTCAGTGAAAAAATCGTATAATAGAAAAGTTATGAAAAATGCATTTTAAAGAGGAAAAGCAGAAATTCAAACTAGCGAATTTGAATTTTGTCTCTATAATATTTTGTCTTAAATGATAAAATTGAAAAATTAATATTTTTGTTATTTTTTGAAACATACTATCTGGATGAAATATCATAAAAACAAATTCAAACACCAGCAAAAGATTCTGGTCTTTTTTTTTTAAATATATTTTTAAAAACTTTTCTACAATTAATTTCAACGGAATACTTTCTGAAATATGAAAGAACCGCAAACATTCCCTAATTTATGAATAGTCGCATAATATGGCGCATAATATTATTTAATATTAAGTAATATTCTAGGCATAGAATATTATTATTTATGTTAAATGTAACATTTTAAGAATATATTTTGTTAAAATTATATAATATTAATTAATATTCTCGGAATATTAATGGATAGTTATATGTCCAACTCCTGATAATATTATATTATTATTAAAAATAATATTATATTATTTAATATTACTGAAATATTGTATAAACATTAAAAAGTATTATAATAATGTTTACTTTAATTTGTAAAGCTGTTACATCTGTTTAATATAAGTATACGTTTAAAGATTGAAAATAATTTTGGCGTGCAGTTGTAGAATTGAATATGTACTTAAAATCACGACGAAATCTTTAGTACAAAATGCAGTATAGACTGATAAAAACTTTTCGTTACTGAATTATGAATTCAAATTGCATTAAATTAAAAATAACTAATGTTTATGAATGTTTTAATAATATTTCAGGAATATTACCCATACAGCCGAAAGTTTTCAGAACATTTTATTAATATTTCAACTGAAAAGTGAAACATTCCATAAAAATTACGAAATATGTCTACAACATTTCTGAGACAGCTCTGGAATAGCAAAATGTCCGCGATACTTGTACATGAAACTTTGTTGAAAGGTTGAAATGTTACTGAAAGAATCTGCAATTTTTTTGAAATATTACCAAAAAGATTTCAGTAATTTCTAGTACTATACAAATGGTATTTAAATATACTTGATTGATAATATTTAAATTTACTATGTTGACATAATACATTTAAATATTGTATAAGTCATCATTATCAATTAAACATATATTTAAATTTCTAAAATATTTAAAATTTATTAAGACTTTTGTGATCTGTTTATCAGATTACAAAACTTATTGAAATAAACAAAATATTTTTAAAAAATATCATATCGCCAATTATTTTCATTAATTAATCATATTATATGTATAAGCACATATACCTATACACATAATTATTATTAAAAAATCACACCTTCGCTTTCCTTATAATATCATTATTCATATACAAAAGTTTTTCGGAACTAAAGCAGAATAAGTCATTCATATAAAAAAGTTTCTTGCAATGTCAGGATGTTTTATACATATTTTCAAAATGATAACAAAATTATAAAAAAATTACAGATTATTCCAAATCACGTTTAAAAATAATACGATAAATTTGGTTTACTATCTGGATCATAAGTTATTTTAATAAATAATATTGTAGCATTTTTTAAATCTGTGTTCCAATAAAAATATATATAAGTATATTATAAAATACATGATAAAATTCTTAATTTTTAAATATAAGTACATTATGTTATATATTCAAGATTATTTACGTAGAGTTACATTACGATGCAATGATTTAATTGTCCAGTGAATAAACAAAATATTTATTTGTTCTATATCTTTGTAACTAATCAATAAATCGCAATGAAACTTTGCATAAATTATTTTGAATATTTAAAGTATAAAAGAAAAATGTAAATCTTTTTATAATTTTTTAAATTTTCATTTCTAACAATAAAAATAATAACAAATAAAATAAATAAACTGCAAAAATGAGTTATTAAACAATAAAAATCTTATTCATACAATTTTCGTATGTATATAGTTTATTTGTAAAAATATTAATCATACCCGAGAAAAAATACATAATTATATGAAATTACATAAATTATATGTAATTATATAAAAAATTGCCGTATTTTATATACAATTATATATATATCTAATTAGACTGCGGATATTGATGTAAAATATTTAATTGAATATTTTGCATAAAATGCATATTTTGCATATTTACAG